AGTTTTCCAACAAGGTTAGAAAATTAATGAGACATATTGTAAAATAATGTTTTTTATCTCTTCTCTTTTTAGTCACAGAGCTCCTAAAACTCTTAAATGATGTCTTAAATGATATCATTTACATTTTTAAATGATAATCATATTAGGAAAGTATTTTGTTCTATTTAGCTTTTGAAGTCTGTTCCTCATAGAACTACAAGATATCTTAGAATCTCCTGGTAAAGGAGAATTTTCTGTTCCAGTGTTACATACTACATGTAAAAAGTTAGTGTTGTTAGTGTTGTAACTCTTGGGGATCTCCTGAAGTGCTTCTGGATGCGAAGCACTTAGAAATTTAGGAAGTCATAGTTAGAAATTTAGAATTTTCAGTAAACAGTTGAATGTCTACCCTATTCTCTGGGAAGGGGATAGCAGCTAAAGATTTATTTAATAATCACTCATGCTTATGTAATGGAGTATCATAAAATCTCACTATTTTGAGATATTTAGATAGTTTCTGGTTTGGGGTACACGCCTATTACCATGAGTGTGGTATGTCCAAATTCCATAAGAACAGAATCTATTACATTTTGTTGTCTTCTGGGTTTTGCCATGTACATTGCTTTACCTTGATTTCAGATCCTCTATTACTCTTTGTAACAAACCAATAATCTACGGATACACCGCTATCCTGATTTCTATGAACCACTATAGTAAGTCATTCTGACCTGAGAAAGGGGTTGTGAAAACCACTGATTTACATGATGCTGATTGGAAGGATAGGCAGAAATCTGGACTTGCAACTGACATTGAAGTAATGGAAGGGGTATTTAGACTTAGCCCTCATCCCTTGGGAGGTCTATGCTGACTCTGACTAATGTTAGGATTGAATTTTAGGACACTCATGTGGTGTTGCAGAATTACTTAGAGAATACCTACAGGCCAGCCATCAGAAAGCATTATAAGCATGGTAACAATGAAACAGTAAAGAAAAATAATTTTTCTAAGAGAAAACATTAAAAGATTTCCTTTGAGTGTTCACTTGCCTGAACAAATCTCTTATAGGCTTCCTGCTATTACAGATATTTATCAACATTTAGAAGTCAGAAGATTTTGGATTCAAAAGTTGTTTGAAAACCTCTACGTTTGATCTTGAGTTTCTATATATAAAATAAGTCTATGAATTTTACATTTGCCACCTATACGGTTGTGATAATAAGCCTACTCGGAGATGTGAAGCAATGATGCATTCTAGCTCCCGTCAAGTTCACATGTGTTATCTCACGTAATGGTTACACAACTTGGTGCCACGGGCCTTCCTAATTACCATTTCGGTAATGAGAAGCTGATAATTAGAGAGGAAAAGCCACACAGTTTACAGATAAGGGGGAATATAACTTATTTTTTGACAAATATCTTTGAGACTGTCTGTGAGCAGACCACACTGACATAAATGTGACAGCCTTTACTAATATAATACTCAGTATGAGTTACATCCTCAATGGATTGATTTCTTGTCATCACCTAAGATGTTTCAAAAACACAGCTGTAAATGTGGGGTATAAGGGTGTATTTATCTTGAACTTTAAAAGCTCAGTACATCTATAATTTGGGGCAAATTTCTTTTTCTATGAAATGGGATAATAATGGATAACTCATCTAAGGATTATAAAAAATAAGTGATATAATGTATGGGAAATGACCTATATTGAAATAAATAAATGTAAATTTGATTATAAAAATTTTAAATGAACTACAATCAACTGTAGATTCATGTATTAGTTGATGTTAAATTCATATATCAGCTAAGTTTTGAAGTATATTATATACATATCTCAAGTGTCCTTATTTTATCTTTAAATATGTCGATCTCTACATGTAGAAAATTGCAAAAGGAGAGAAATTCTATGTATTCTATAAACCACCTTTGATACAATGATACAAATGTATATGTCATTTCACTGAATTTGGATAAACTCTGTGACAAACACTATAAATTTCTTGAATTTTAAATTAAAGGGATTTTTCTTTAAAAAAGTATCAAAATGAAGGAAAAACAAAACTGTTAATAGTTAAACTTTGACTCCAGACTGCCTGTTTCACGAATTAACCTGGCTAGGCTAGTTACTGTTTCATCTATAAACTGGAGGTAATTATATTACCTAATCAAAAAATTACTGGAAGAATGAAATAACCTAATGCAATATATATTTTTTGTCTTTTTTGGGTCACACCCAGCAATGCTCAAGGGTTACTCCTGGCAATGCTCAGGGGACCATATGAGATTGAACCCAGGTCAGCGGCATGCAAGACAAACACCCTACCCGCTGGACTATAGCTCTGGCTCACTAATGCAATATTTATGCTACATTGTAGTACTGCAACTGTTCAAAACACTTACATTTAATTTCTAATTTTAACAAAATTAGTAACTAACAGAGATTTTGTTTTGCTATTTAGCTTAATTCTGTAGATATAGCTTTACTCTTTTTAAAATTGAGATATAATTATAGGGCATGGTAGTTTCAGGTATAAAATAATTCTTCCTATTTCTCCTTCTCTAATATAAAATTATCAATATAAACTTTTATTTAATATACATCTCTACACATATTTATTCACACACAACTCTCTTATTATACATATGTTTGTGATGAGAACTTTCCAGAGGAAGGCATTAGAAGTCACACCATACTGTGCTCTGGAACTACATCTAGTCTGTAGTCAAAGTTCACTCTCAGTGATACCAGGAGAACATGGAATGCCAGGGATTGAACCTGGGTTTACTACATACAGACCTAAGTATCATAAGCTTGTGTCTCCATATCCACAAAAGTAAATTTTAGTGTTATTGTTAACTCTATGGTAAATTAATAGTTATATTAAAATAATTACTCAAAATAAAATTAAAATGTAAGGCACTAATGTATGTAAAGTATTTTCTGAGAACTTTCCCTTCAGACAGTGATAATGAAGAGGAGGAATATAATTTTTGCATTTATTAAGCAATACAAAAATAATAAGCTATAGGAAGTGAGAGATGATAGACTTCTGAGACAAGGACTGTCTAGGATGAAGTTGTTTGTTTTTTTTTAAACTTTAATCAGAGAGATCATTGACATTTTTATTAGCCCACTCTATTACATATGAAGGAATATGGATATTGCTAAAGGCAAATTGAAAACACATTTTCAGAGCAAAGCAAGCACACTAAAAATTACCTTTGAATTATAAAGAGTGGGGTCACAAAACCTACAGAGAAGTGACTTAAGTTCCTTAAAACAGAAATAAAACAATGTCACAAATCAAATATGCTGTGACAATATAATTTATACTTTGTGCATAAAGTTAATAGAGAAGAATGGTGAGCATGACTATAGAACATATACAGATATCATGTAGGTGAGACATAGGGCATCTTAGTAATTACTGAGCATTTGCTTTGCTTGTCTTAAAGCTTACCTGTAGTGTGACTTATCATCTCCTCAAAGTACTGGATTAATCTTCATAAATTTAACTTCAAGAAACCATAACCATTCATAACATACCAATATTTTTTATTTGCTGGTATCATGGGTGTTCTGAATAATTGCATTGTCACTAATGTCAGTTGTGCAATTTATTTTCCTTATATTGAAAAAATTTCTATGAACACATCAATATTATTACAAATAGGATTTTTATTTCTATAATTATGAAATTTTATTTATAAAGAATAATTTTGCAAATAGAAAATATAAACTATTGAAATTATTGCTTTATATGATTTCCATTAAATGTGGGATATTCGACTTCAAATTCAAACAGTTTTAATAGATAAGCAAAACCTCAATGGCAGATATTTACACTTATTTATTCATTCAGTTACTCAAAAAATATTATGGAGTGCAGATTAAAAGAAAAGTATTGTGGTCCTTTTCCTGGTACCTCAGGGATGCATTCACATTCATTGTTTTCACCAAAGGACTAACACAAATGTGTGTTCTATTGTACTAGTCAGGAAGGAAGCTTAGTAAAGTTCATTAACTGAATGGCCAATCAACTCTGAAATTCATTACCACCTAGTATCTTTACCACCTGGAAAGGCTGTAAGAGCAAAAAAGAAAGGCAGAATTTACGTATTTATTATGAACTGAAGCTCTCATTTGGAAGAAGACAGCTTTGTAGGCCTTAAGAAGTCCTGATGTTTCTGTTCCCTCATATTCCTTATTTTGAAATGGTACTTAATGATATCTATTCGACTAATTTCACAAAGATGTCTGGACTAGTAAATGAAATTATGTTTGTGTGGAAATACATGAAAAATGGCATAAATTTAAGCAGAGATGAAGTATTGCTGTTGGGTGTTTAAAATCACTGTTTTTATATTATATGAAACTATGCTGGAGAATTTTATTATTCTCTGTGTGTTATAAACCACATTTAAAAGCTTAAAATACTCATATATTTTTCTTTAGTCCACAAAAAACAAATTTTAAAGGACATACACACTTTCAACATATCTGTAGCTCCTGTTTCTAACTCCTTCACCAAAGAGTCCTAGGATTTCTATGGTGACAGCAGGTGTCTCTACAGCTCCTGACCTCCTAATCTGGATTAGTTCCCAGCAACTGACTATAAAGTATAAAGAAGAAAAGCTACAGGAAAAGTGCTATAGAAGTCAAGATTAGTCAAATTGCTGAAAAGCGACATTTTGCAAAACAAATGTACAAACTTGCCTCCTCCTTTGGAAATTAGAATTAATTAGCGAACAATCACATGTAAAGTCTGATTAGCTTCTCAATCCTGACTTTTTAATTTGGCAACATAGAAATCATTAAAATAATTTTAAAGCAAAATTGTTCATTACACACAGGTGAATTAACCAAGATGCTATAATAATTCCAGATATCTCACAAAATCCTATGCAGGTTGAGAATCTAATTGAGGTTACCTCATATGGAGTCCACTGACATACCAGAAGGCTAATCATTGACAGACAGTAGAGCAAACAACCATTCACAAAACAGAGCTGAACTTACCGATACATCCTATCCCGGAGGAAGAATATGATCTTGTAGGGCTTCACCCTCTGAATCCAACTTTCTAATCAACTATATAGCATCTCTAGATATGCTAGAGGTCTATGGGTTGAAGAAATAAGGAAACAATTTCTAAGTAGTTGAAATGAAACTAGTTTGACAAGTCTGAACAGAGAAGCCTCAACCCATTAGAATAGCTTCAAGAAAACAGAGACAGCATAGTCCCAACAAGAAAGTAATATTTTTCTTTTGCTATTGACTAATTTTGTAAGAGAAAGAAACTAGTTGCAATGATCAAACTGAGAAATGCCTCAGGAATGTACTAGGATTAAGAGTTTTAAAAAGATTATTGGTAGATATGCAAACAAATGAAAGAAATCTCCACTTAAAATCTTTCAATAAAAACAATTTGACATTCCAAAAGCCTGGGTACATAATATAATTTAAAAAAATACTTCTAAAAGAGCATCAGGTATCTCCATTTCTCACAGGAATGTAAAGTTTATTAATATGTTAGCATTTTTCTTTGAAAGTATCTACTTTTGAGAGTACATACAAATAAATTTATAGTGAACCAGATCTTTTACAGAATGACTTATTAATAAATATCAATTTAAATTTTTAATTGTTAGATAGAGATTTGCTAAAATAAAGAAAAAAGAGATGGAGCACAAATCATATTTTTAAATAAATAACATGAATATAACCTCTTTGTGAACATTGCTACTTTAGAAATGAAACTGAAGCTCTGTGTGACCATATCTTAATCTCCCCTTCTCAAAGGTGGTGTTATAAGGCTCTTTCCTTTTATAGAATGTGCTAACCATTTACTCACACGTACGCATGTAATTCATATAAAAGCATGAACATTAAAAAGGATCAAGTTTATACATATTGTGGAACTTTAATATTCTTTACTTAATATTTTTAAAGATCAGTGTTAAGAGGCACAAATCTATGTTCTTTTTTTTTTTTTCAATTGTTGTGGTCCTAGGGATCAAAGTTAGTGCTTCACACATGTAAGTGTGTAATTTACCTCCGAGTCACATCCTCAGCCCTGATGCAATTTTTTTTTCTAGTTTAAATTTTCTTTTTACTTATTTGTTTACTTTTAATTTTTGGCCACACTCTGCAATGTTCAGAGATAATCTTGAATGTTTACTCCTGAGTGTTTAGGGGATCATATCGGATACCGTGGGTCCAAACAAGGTCAGCCATGCGCGAGGCAGGCCCCCTACACATTATATTGTCTCTCCAGCTCCAAATTTTATTTTTAAATTTAATTTTAGTCACTATGATTTACAATACTGTGAATGTTTTGGCTCCATGCACACAATTCTCCAGCATCTCACTTTCTACCAGAGTGTAGTAGGAATTGTACTACTAGTAACCACCTAATTTTTGTACCTAATTTTTGAAATGTAAATTAGTTAGGATATGCATAGTGCTTTGACCAGTGTTTTGTACAGATACATTAGCAATTATTATTAGCACTATAGTTCAGTTGAATATACTTTAACCTACTAAATAAAGCTCATATGGTTACATTCTACCATTCATTTCACTTTGATTTTCTGTCTTTTCTCCCTCTTATTTCTTGATATAGTACTTTATAAATCAATGAAAGGGGAGTAAACTAGAATGTAAATCTGAATGTAAATCTTTTTGGTAGTTAATTGAATTTATACTGTAGCACTATAGCACTGTCCTCTTGTTGTTCATCGATTTGCTCCAGCGGGCCCAATAACATCTCCATCATGAGACTTGTTGTTACTGTCTTTGGCATATCGAATACGTCACGGGTAGCTTGCCAGGCTTTGCCAGGCGGGTGAGATACTCTGGGTAGCTTTCTGGGCTCTCCAAGAGGGGTGGAGGAATTGAACTTGGGTCGGCTGTGTGGGACGTGTTGCAAGGCAAACACCCTACCCGCTGAATTTATACAAGCTGCTCAAATCTTTTAAGCATCAGTCTTTATAAAATTACCTGATTCCATCTATGTGCAGACTTTCCAGAGAATTAAAGACGTACTGTGGAATTTCCTATTTCCTTCTCTGGTAATAACTGGTATTTTCTTTTTCTTTTTTTTTTTTATTTAGATTTTTATTAGTGAAACACCATGAGGTACAGTTGTAGATTTACAAATTTTTGTGCTTGGGTTTCAGTTATATAATGATCGAGTACCCATCCCTCCACAAGTGCCCATTCTCTACCACCACTGATGCCAGTATCCATCCCAGTCCCCGTCCCCCCATCCCACCCGGCTTCTGTGGCAGGGCATTCCCCCTGGTTCTCTATCTCCTTTTGGGAGCTGTGGTTTGCAAAAGAGGCATTGAGTGGCAATCATGTTCAGTCTAGAGTCTACTCTTAGCACGCATCTCCCATACTGGGAGGATCCTTCCAACACCCTTTATTTGGTCCTCCCTTCTCTGTCTGAGATGTCATTTCCCCCAGCGTGTGCAACTGGCCTCCAAGCCATGGAGCAAAATTCCTGGTACTAATCTCCGCCATTCTTGAGTGTTAGTCTACTATTTTGTTACTTTATGTTCCCCAGATGAATGCAATCTTTCTATGTCTGTCCCTCTCTTTCTGACTCATTTCACTTAGCATGATACTTTCCATGTAGTAACACTTGTATATAAATTTCATGACTTCATCTTTTCTATCAGCTACATAGTACTCCATTGTGTAGATGTACCAAAGTTTCTTTAACCAGTCATCTGTTCTTGGACATTCAGGTTTTTTCCAGATTCTGGCTAATGTAAACAGTGCTGCAATGAACAAACAAGTGCAGACGTCACTTCAACTATACTTTTTTGCCTCTCCGGGATATATTTCCAGGAGTGGTATTGCTGGGTCAAATGGGGGTTTGATTTCTAATTTTTTGAGAATTGTCCATACTGTTTTCCAAAAGGGTTGAACCAGTCGGCATTCCCACCAGCAACAGAGGAAGGTCCCTTTCTTGCCACATCTGCACCAGCAATAACTGCCAGAAGTATTTCATGGGTGGCAGAGACCTGATTGAGACAAGACTTTGCAGAAAGAGATACACCTCCCTGTTGAACCTGTCTCTCCTTGTGGCTGGTACTTGACCCTTCTATAGCTTATGTTCCTCACTTGTATGTGGATTCGTAATAACTTTCTAGGCCATTGTGGCATTAATACAGCAGTTCCTGTAAGATGCTCCCCACACTAAATAAGACAAATGAGATTGTAATAAATATTTATCAGTGGTCAGACATTTTTTCCAATACTTTATATGGAAATAGAAACTGAGTTTCAGATATCAAAATAATTTGCTGAAAGTGGCAGAATTGTCATTCTCTCTCCAAATAACTTTGGATCCACAATCCTTTTCTTCTATCAATTAAATATAATGTATTATTTTTTTATATAAAACTGGAATTCAAAAATAGTTTTATTCGGAGCACCACTGGGGCAAAGTAATAATACAGCCAACCAAAGTACTATTAATTTGGCCTACAACGTGGTTCAGGCATCCTTGGCCCCATGTCCCTGGCAGTGGACTGCAGTTCCCTATAATGTAACTTTATTAAGCTTCCTCATTACCTGATAACTGGAGGTGGAAATGGAAGTGTCAATCAGTGGTTGCTATTCTATTCTTTTTTTGTTTTTTTACTTTTTTTCTTTTGGGGTCACACCTGGAAATGCACAAGGGTTACTCCTGGCTTGGCACTCAGGAAATACTTCTGGCAGTGCTTGGGGGACCACATGGGATTCTGCAAATCGAACCCAGGTTGGCCACGTGCAAGACAAATGCCATACCCACTATAGTATTGGTCCATCCTCCTTTGCTATCTTTTAATTGTACCATCTCAACCAGTTACACTCACAATTTCAACTTAGACGAAGTGGGTATTTTTTCACTTCAGCCATCTACTTGAATACATTTAAATCAATCACTACATAAAATGTGCACTATTGTTTATTGCCCAAATCTGTACTTTTAAATTTAGAGTTTCTCACAGAAAGTATTTATTCCTTAAAATACGATAAATACTCAATGTCATTGACAGATTATTGGAAACTGTGGCTTTATGTGAGAGGACTTCTAATTTATATAGGTTGTTAAAGTTTTAAATGAAAATCTTACTGGTATGGTATTCACACACATGCATATGCACACATACATGCACCACACACATATGTATACAATGAAATTGATGTTGAATGAAATAACATTGAAGCATTTTTTGAGGATTTACTGTGCTATAAATGTGCTAGTGCAATTCAGATTGGTATGTCACTGCTTTGGGATTGTTTCATATCAATGACTAGTGATGAAAGATATTAAAGTACATAAGAATTATATGATGAGGTAATAGCAATAAATCTTTCTTAGGTGACATATAAGATATTTTTCTGAGCTATTTCTCTTCAGCTGATAATTTTGTTCTCTCTCTGCAAAGGGGAAATTGATAACAGATTATAAGGGTTGTAAAACTTGAAGTTCCCGAGTGGGAAGTATCACATAGCTTAAAAATCATAGCATTTAGAAGCTCAGACTTAATTGCATTGCAATAATTTCAGAGAGACCTAAATATTATGGAACTTAATAATTCAATGAAAAGATAATTTTCCTGGTCACTATAATGTGCCAGGGTATGTTTTTGGTACTGAGAATAGTTTGGATTTTTATTTGTTTATTTATTTATTTATTTTTGTTTTTTTGGGTCACACCCAGCGATGCTCAGGGGTTATTCCTGGCTCTGCACTCAGGAATCACTCCTGGAGGTGGTTAGGGGACCTTATGGGATACTGGGAATCAAACCCAGGTTGGCCGCGTGCAAGGCAAACACCCTACCCGCTGTGCTATCACTCCGGCTCCTTTGTTTATTTATTTCCTTTTTAAATAGAATCTCTGTGAAATACACAGTTACAAAGTTGTTGGTAATTTGGTTTCAGTCATACAATGTTCTAACGCCCTTGCCTTCACTACATTTCCCACCACCACTGTCCTCAGTTTCCCTGTTGTCATCTCCTCCCCCCA